TTCTATAGACAAGATCCATGAGAAATATCACACTGTGAGTCGCCACAACTGGCCATTAGAAAGTTACCAGGTAAGAGAAGGTCAGTGTTTCATCCACCCAAAGATGACAAAGTGGTTGTTAAGTTGGTGCAAAGGATGTGGCAAGTGGGGCTTCAACATTACCAGATTCAGAGGAGGTGCCAAGCAGTCTACGCAATAGGAGTCAGATGTTTGACTTTCCCAGCAGGTGGATATTTACTAGGCATCAGCTGAAGGTTTGTTTCTGATGGGAAACAAACTATCAGCCCCGGAGCAACACAGAGAAATTTTTTAGGAATGTAGCACAATTAGTTTTCCAAGTTTCCAGGAATGTAGGTGGAACCAGTTAATAGTTAATCATGAGGAGAAAACAGGGGGCACAATTCAGCAAATTAAAAGTTAATTCTGCTTATTCCTAAATTTTTTAGTCTAGGGCAGTTTTTTATTACAAAATGCAGGGGATCAGGATATATAACAATGGCTGTATAGTGTTATATCTTTGTCCCAACCCATAAAATATATAATACCAAGATGAACCCTAAGGAAACTATGGTTTTGGGTGATTATGATGTGTCAATATAAGTTCATCCAATGTAAAAAAAAAAAATTACTGTGAATGTTGATGATAATGAGGGAGGCTATGCCTGGGGCAAGGAGGTAGCTCCTCCTAATGTGAACCTTAAACTGCTCTAAAATAACTGCTCAAAAATAATGAAGTCTTCCCAAAATATTTTATCAACACAGTCTCCAGAGATTTTGTCTTAGGACTGTGGGCATATTTGGGTGAATGTTGACACCATCCTGGGTGTTGGTGTCTCCCCATCCTGTATTTGACTTGAATCCCAAAGGTACCTTTTGAAACTTTTTATCTTTGATACTCATTTCTTCTGCTGTCCTTTCTTCACCATTCTTTACATATCCCTTGATGGGTGATGAATCTTTTTGATATCTCCACATTTTGCATTATGTAAATGAAAAAATTCAAGAATTTCTCTTGGGTTATAAACTAAGTTGGGGAAAAGGGAGGATAAATTCCTCCTTAGTTTTCATACTAAAATATAAGGATGCATGAAAGCTACAGGGACAACTTAGAAACCTCACATGTAATTTACCAACTAGATTGTATTTCATTCACATTTGATCACTCAGTAATTTTAAGATGCGTAAAGAAATACTAAAAGCATGGGACTAGGAGAGCACACTAAGGCCTAATATATATCTTTGTGTGCAACTGGTTCCACTGTAATTAGCTCATTTCTTTCGTTCACATATTTAACTTTTTGTATATCCTCCTCACAAATTGTTAGAAATCCAGGTGGGGTAACCAGAGCACTCTAAATCTCCTGCCTCCTTTTGTGTGGAATGACATTATGGGATAATCCAGAAATTTGTGAATTTGATAAATTCATTGGTGAATTTATCCCATGGAGGTTAGTCCTAAGGAGAGCAGGTGAACTGTTTTAAATTTTAAAGATACGCCAAAGCTGTCTGTTAGTCCCCAGGCTGTTACAATACTTAGAAGTAATGGGGGTCTCAGGTGTTAAAACGAAAACAATAGAAAACATTCTGGAAAGTAACAAAACTGCCTTTTGCAAGACTCTGTGTTTCTTAAGTATGGGGATTTTGCAATAAATGAGTTAGAAGATGTAAATGAAGTCACTGATTATTTGGGGTAATTCCCTTGGGGTTGTAGGATTTAGCTCTCAGCCATATTTCTGTTGGACTTCTGGACAATGCAGTCAACCTCAAGATTTTAAGCTAACTTTTTTTTACCCTTTTCTGATCATTTAGTATTTTCTACTCTTGATTTTTCTTAATTTAAAAAAAACATTCTTAGTATTTTAAAAATGGAGTAAGGCTCCTAAGCTATATTTCAGGAAAATGTAGAGTAGGAAAAGGAAGAGAAAGTAGGAGGAAATTTATTCCTTCATCAGAGACCACAATTATGTTCTAAAACATGTAGAAATTCTTCAGGAAGCTAGAGAAGATAAAAGTAAAATTTGTGATTTATATCACTATAGGCAGTCCCCAGCCTAAGAAGCAGTCAGGTAATAAAGGTTTATTCTCTAAGCTCTCTGTTAGAGAACTCAGATTCATTTTTCCATAGAAACATCATAAATGATTGAGCTCACAGATCAAACTTGAAAAGTTATACACCAATAGCGAAGGTGAAGCACAGACTCATGTTTCTTGTTGAAGTTCAACAGACCACGCTTCATAATACTCTTCTGCTAGCAAGACTTATATCAAGTTCCACCATAATACTAGGGCCTCATAAAAGATGAAAAAAAAAAAATCAGTTCTCTGCCAGGGCCATTGTCTGTGTGGATTTTTGCACTGTGTGGACTGTTTGCACATTCTCCCCATGTCTGCATGGTTTTTTCCAGTACTCTGATTCCTTCCAAATCCCATAGCTGTGCACAGTAAAGGTTCAGTGCCATGTCTAAATTGTCCCAGTCTGAGAGAGAGAGAGTGTGTGTGGTGTGATATGTCTGTGAGAGAGAGAGAGACAGAGAGAGATGCACCCTGGGGGAAGTGGTGTCCTTTCCAGGTTTGGTTTGCTGCCTGGTCCAGTTGTGGGAATGAATCCGTGATCCACAACCCTGATAGGAAAAAGTGGGTTGGAGGATGAATGAATACAAATTATTGTTTCAAGTTTTTGAATCTTTATTTAGAAATTTGGTGAAATTTTTGTGTCCAGAAATGTGCTTAGGAAATAAACTCTCGCTTATATCAATTAGCCTATGATAAAATTGGCTTCATTATGCATTTCGCTTAAAGAGAAAACATGAGAACTTACTGTACTGTATTTTGTTAAACATGAGAACTACTGTACTCTATTTTGATTTGCTAGATCTGATAACCCTAAGTCCTAGCACAGTACAGCGGGTTTGCTGGAATGGGGACACTTCGTATCTAATGAAGACACAGAAACCATCTTTAGGAAACATAATGACTCGATGTCATTACCCATGTAACCTTGAATGAGTGACTTTACATGTCTAGGCCTAAGTTTTCACATATTTAAAAAATAATAAATTGCTTCCTGCCTGTGGATGCCACCAAGGAAGCATCACAAAAGTCTCCTGTCACTGCCATCATGTCTAAAATCAGAATCTCCCAAGAAGCCAGGATAACTGGAAGTTCTTTGAGCTTTGAAACAAGCAGTGAGAACCCATTTAGAGCAATGAGAAATACTCACAGGCTGTGTGGTAATGAGAGATCTGAACACCCCAGTGAGCCAGAGGCTTTGGGTTTGTCACTTATGCACCACAGAGGAGGCAAATGTCAGGCCACACAGGTGCATGGAAGAGTTGTGGACTCAAAGCAGGCCATGTCAAGAAAAGATTCTCAAACACTTGGTGCTCATTAACTGTGAAAAAGATTTTTTGGTGGCATCAAAGAAGATACCGAAGAACATCTCTGAGAGATTACTTTCAGCGGTATAGGAAAATGGAAATGGTTGAAATCATGCCTATTCAGGGCAGTGGCAAGATCTGAGGCTTTGCTTTTTTGACCTTTGATGATTGTGATTCTATAGACAAGATGGCCATTCAGAAATATCACACTGTGAGTCGCCACAACTGTAAAGTAAGGAAAGTTACCTAGGTAAGAGAAGGTCAGTGTTTCATCCACCCAAAGATGACAAAGTGGTTCTGTAAACTTTGTTGGTGTTTGTGGAGGTGGTGTTGGTGGGAATGACAACCTTGACATGCAGGAAACTTCAGAGGTTGAGGTGGCTTTGGTGGCAACTATAGTAGCAGTGGGAATGGCTACAATGGACATGGTAATGATGGAAGCAAATTGGAGGTAGTAGAAGCTATGCAACTATCAATCTTCAAGTTTTGGACCCATGAAAGAAGGAAACTTTGGAGGCAGAAACTCTGGCCCCTGTGGTGGTAGAGGCCAATACCTGCCAAGCCACAAAACCAAGGTGGCTGTGGTGACTCCAGCAGCAGCTGTAGCAAAAGGTTTTAATTAACCTTTAAAAAAGAAAACAAAGATGAGCAGCAAAGGAGTGTCTCTGTCTCTCTCTCTCTCTCTCTCTCTCTCTCTGCCAGAGAAGTGACAGGGAAGCTACAGATTACAACAGATTTCTGAACTCAGCCAAACACAGTGGGCTCGCTGCTACAAAACTGACATGTTTTAGACAATACTCATATGCATGAGCAAAAAACTCAAGGGCTATATTTGTGACAAAGAGTGTAACAGGTTATTTTAGTTTCTGTTCTGTGAAAAGTGTAAAACCCGCCGCCGGCGGGTCCCACATGGCGTGCAGACTTCTCCTGCGGCGCCCGCTGCTCCCCTCAGCACTGTACTTGGGTCCTTCTGCCTGTTCTGTTCCCCGCGCTGGCTCTGGTGAATTCTCTCACCCTCCTGCGCTGCTGACTTTACCCAATGCTTGTATAAATAAATAAATAAATAAATATGTATAAGTAAATAGAATGTCAAATTTGAGTTTATAGCTTTCAAGTGAATTTCAAAGGACTCTATCACTATCACCACCATCCTCCCCAAAATTAAGAATCTATGGATAAAATAATCTGTTAAATTCCTTTAGCCCTAGCATTTTTAGTTCAGTGTGGTTTCTCAATTAGGAACTGCCTAATCATGATTTACTAACCAACTGAGTATTGGGGCCCTTCAAATAAATTAATATTGTCCTTTGCTATTATACTAGTTAAGCAATCAGCAGAATAGAAATAAAGTTTTTATAACATTTCTACATGATTTCTCATCCTCTGAAAATTTCTCCTCTAGCTGTAATAAAAGATTTGTCATCTCCCAGTCCTCAATTCCAAACTGATAGTTCGCATTTCTAGGTCTTCAATTAGTGTTTTGTAAACTTTGTCCACCCACTACGTCCTCAGTTAATTCACTCTTCTACTAACTTGACATGTCCTTGCCCTTCGGTGTTTTTGAACCAAGATAGAGGTCACTTTAATAAATTAGAATCGTTTTTTTTTTTTTTTTTCTTTCAGGAAAAGGAGAATTGAACTGCCTATCTTGTGCGTGGAACTACCACCTGAAGGGAGGAATCTGCTCTTCGGACTGTCATGCAGGGAAATACAGAGTGGGAAAGGTACTGAGGGTTGGTGTTGGGTGCCTTTCCCCAGAGGGACATGAGCTACTTTCTGGGTGGCATCCTGGGCAAAGTCAACTAGTTCTAAAAATCCCTACATTCACTACAGATCAGATTTAATTTTTTAATATCATCTATCAGTACATCATGAAACAATGGTACTATCTACCTATAGCTTTAATTTCAGTCAAAGGAACTCAGAATATCTAAGATAGATAGTGTGGAAATTAAGTAAATTAGGCCTCAGAATTAACACTATATTCTTGATTTAGAAGTTTCAGATCTACATGGGAAAATGATGTTAGACATAAGAAGTATCTTCTTCTAGCCCTCTGCTGTCAAACTTGAAATATCCTATGTTGATCTTTTATTTCCTGCACCCTTTTACTGCGTATTAAGAGAGATATATTTTTCATTTGCTTGGATTTTATGAGTCTCATTAATTTCTTTATTTTTTATTTTTAAAAGATTTACTTATTTATACAAAAGCTGGGGTACAGGCCAGAGGTGTGGGAGATTCACCAGAGACAGAGTGGGGAGCAGAACAGGCAGACAGAAACAGAAAACACTGCTGAGGGGAGCAGAGGGAGAGACAGGAGAGGGCTGCCGCACCATGTGGGTATCTCCCTGGCCGGCCAGGAATTGAACTGGCCCTGCAGAGGCTGCGGACAGCTTCACAGTGCGGCGCTCAACCCGCTGCACCACCAGAGAGGCCCCATTAATTTCTTTTTTTTTTTCTTTTTTTTTTTTTAATAGCTTTTGAGGAACAACTATTTTTAAAAAAAGATTTATTTATTTATGCATGCAAGATCTGGGGTATAGGCCAGAGATGTGGGGGTAAGGGTGAGAGGATTTACCAAAGACAGAGTGGGGAACAGAACAGGTAAACTAACCAAAGTACACTGCTGAGGGAGCAGCAGGGAAGCCAGGAGAGGTCTGCTGCGCCATGGGTTGACCCCTGGCCAGGCGGGGATTGAACTCGTGCTGCAGTGGCTGCGGACAGCTTCATAGGTTGTGGCTCAACCCCTTGCACCACCAGGCAGGCCACCCATTAATTTCTTAATTGTGCTTCCAAACTTAAGAAATTAAGTATCTCCATGGGGAAATTGACACTGGCCAGCATATTCAGTTCTGAGCTCTCTTTATATTCTGACAACTAGCTCTAGTTACACTTTAGATAGAGTGAAGTTCAGAGAGATCAAATAGTTTGCTAAAGATCAGATAGTAATAAGTAACAAAGTTGGAATTGAACCCATCCTAATCCAGGATTGGATGAGACAACACTAGCTAAAAGCACGTCATAGTGATCAAAAAGGCAATTCCCATTTATTCTTGTTATATTATATCATCTTTCAAAAGTCAGAAGTGAAGTAGGGAGGTATCTTTCCTCATCTATTTTCCAGCACCAGTAAAGGTTGGGAGGTGGGGTGAGACCACTTCCTCTTTGACTTTTTCCATTGAGATTTAACTGCTTTAGTGAAAATCACAAGTTACATTATTCTAAGGCAGTGCGATGAGAAGCTAAAAACACAGAAAAGCCAAATCGATGATATAATTGAGTGAGGATGATAGATAAAACAAAACCTCAGTGCATGCTTGATGAAAAGTAGGGAATGATATTTCACCCATGTAATTTGTGACATACAGCAAGTGCTGGAGACTGTATCAAATAGATCACAAGAATGCACAGCAACATTTGCTACATATAATGAATCCAGAGTTGAAAATTCATCTAGCTATTAAAGAAAATTAGGACTAGATTTACATATAAAATATCCCAATTTTGATATGTGGGTAATAAATTGAAATTTTTTAAGATATGAAGGTCCATATCGTATAGACCAGATAAAGCTTATACTTGACCATCTCAGCACCTGAGCTGTCCTGAGTACCATCATTACTAGCAGATGTCAGAGGAAAAGGCCCACCAATGATTCTATCCACGAGCAAGCAGTTAGTTCTATCTTTCTCCCTGCACAGTTAGAATGAACTCAGAACAAACCAGCTTTCTGCTGTCCCCCACTTGCTTCCCCCCATTATGGAGTTAAGATGGAACTCCCATCTGAGAGTTCCAGGGTTTGTTAATCCCTGATTCAGAAGGAATTTCCTGATTGTTCTTAACAGGGGGACAAATTTAACTGTGAACAATGCCACAAAAGTTGCACAGAATGCAAGGGACCTGGTGCCAACAACTGCACTGTGTGCCCTGCCCACCTGTTGCTGCACATGGATGATAGCCGCTGCCTACACTGCTGCAATTCCTCGGATCCCAGAGATACCCAGGAGTGCTGTGACTGCCAAAAAAGGACAGGTGAGAGCAGAGGAAGAGAAGCCTGAAGAAAACAGGCATGTCCTCAGGAAGTTAATGGGAGCCATGGGGGCGAGGAGGCTGGGAAGTTCCAGAAAAGCAATATAGCTACTCTTTAATTGAATCCCTGCTAGACATCCACTGTACCTCATCTTCATGCTCATCATCTCATTCCAAAAGTAGATATTATTAATCCTATTTTACAAATGCGTGGACTGAGACTCAAAGGGATTGATTAGCATGCCCAGGTCCACATCAATGTTAAGAGTCTCACCTGGAATTTGAATATTGGCCCTTTGGACTGCAAAGTCCACATTCCTTCCACTGTAGCCTCTAAAATTAGAGCTTAAGGAGGTCTAGAATTTCATCTTTATACATTTACTTTCTTTATTTTTTAACTCTTCCCTCCTGGGAAAAAAAGAAGAAAAATCAACTATAAAGGAAACTGATGCTAATATTATCTTGAAGCTGTTGAAGAATCATTCTGAAGATGATGAAATCTATACCTCTCAGACATTTAATGCATTTAGAAATGAAATTTCTCTGAAGGCAAAAAAGAAACAAAACCACCTCTTCCAATTCCTAGTCCCCCAATGTCTCCCAACCACCCCTAACCCCATCCATATGAGTATTTGGTCAATGAGTTCAAACTTAGATCTCAAGTGAGTGATTGCTTCTAAAAAGAAATTGTATTCCTAAAACATATTCTCTAATCCAAAAGATCATTTCCTTAGGATTCAGATGTTTCATTGTCTGACAGAAAAAGATATCATATTTTTAGCAACCTGTCCACTTATAGATAAAGGAAACCCAAGGCCCATAACTGCTACTAGCCATTTATTTTTATTTTTTATCAGCCTTTTCTACTAAATTCTAAATAACATCTTTCCAACATCTAATTATTTTTCCTTCTTTCAGTTTTCCCACCTCAAGAGCAACTTCTTTTCCTAGCTCTTCAAATACATCCTCCTTTAGAGATTGACTATCTAATATTCATCTACATCTATCTAATAGCCATCATTATATTTATGGCTTTTAAAGGAAACTAAAAGTATGTGGGGTGTGCAGCTTAGTTTCCACCAGCCTGTTCCTACAAAGAATTATTTAGTCAACTTTCCTGAATTTTACATGACTTTTGAAGATCTACCCAGACCAACTCTGCAAAAGTCTACATACTCTTGATCACCTGCTCATTCTTCTCTGAGGTCCTCTGCCCCTTCAAAGAAACCAAATCACAGCAGTTGACCCTGACTCTGCAGATAGAGGACTGGGGACTAGAAAGACATTACTGCTTATTTAGACAATGGAGAGGTCTCATTGTTTCTCCTGTCTTGGGAAGCTCTCCCCCCTCTTCGTACCACACACGGATTGCTTATCCATCCCTCTGGTGGTATAACCTTTTCTCCAGGGAAAAATTCTGTGCTGATATTGTTAATGATGATAGCAATAATGATAATGCTGTTACTTCATAAGAGGAAATTCTGCTTTATGGGCAAAATCCCATGAGAAGGAAAGTTAAAATAAAATAGAAAACTTGTTTATCACTAAGGAAAAGAGAGAGCTATAGTGGTGATGAATCAGATATAATTGGCTAATATCTAATAAGCAAAAGTAATTGCCCCTAAAATATTTGGCAGCAGTTTTATATCCATTAAACTAGTGTGTGTAATGTTCCTAGAGTCTCTCATAAAAGAATTCTCTGGACAGACCCAGGTGGTTCAAAAAATACTTAGGGAAAATATACTGTGTATTTAAACTTGTACAAACGACATATAGCCTGCTAGCTTGTGTTCTTTTGCTCCAGTTATTTTATACTCCCTTTCAGACTCTGATTTGTGAGCTAAAGAATAGGAAAATAAATAAATCACCAAAATCATACTACCTGAGTAAATGAGTAAAATATAAGAAAAATAAGTTCATTGCTGAAATTACGCCTTAATCCTTTCTTCTGCGCTTCTGTCTTGCTTTTACTCTGTGTTCTCATTTAAGGCATCAAGACTAGTTAATAAATGATAGGGGACAAAGCTCTCAATTTCAGAAATCTTAATTATAATTGAAGAAATTTAATTCACTGAACTTGGTAATCAGAAATTAATGATTCCCTTCCTGCTAGATGAGGGCCACAGAACACCAAAAATAGTTGCCAGTATTTTGCCTTAATGTCTCCAGACATGGAGTTCAAGTTCTGATTACTTCACAATCTTTTACCCCTGACAATGTGACAACTCGCTTCTTTTCTCAGTTTCCTCAACTGTCGAGCAACAGATTGACCTAAGTCATTTTAAAGCCACACATAGCAATAAGAGTCAATGGTTTGATAAATAATCTGCTCCTCCCCTTGAATGAAACAATCATGTTGGACCAGGTTTAAAGGTAGCTCTGAGATGAGTCAGTCTTACAAAAAATGAGAGCTATTTAGCATAAGTGGAACATGGCCTGGGATGGAAAATTTCTCTCAGGAAGGCAACTGAACAATCAATTGGTAAGTTTGGGCAATATGCGACTGATTTATAGGTGTGGGATGAGGGTGAGGGCTGCTTCCCTTTGGATCTCAACTGACCCTCATCCTGGAAGGGTTTGTTGGTCTCCGCAGACCCACACTGGGCTCCTCGTGTAGTACACACTGCCAATTCTGTAATGTGATGTGTCCTCAAAGAAAATCAAAGACTGTTCATCTACCAATTTAGATATGAAAGATAAAAGTAAACTTTTTGACCTCAGATAATTTTCCTCCTTCCATTTCTTCTCTCCCACCCTTCCCCTCTCCCTCTTCTCCCTTTGGGGTTATATTCCAACAGATGAATGCTTCCTTCGAGAAAGTGAAACTGGGCCTGCTGCTGAGCATTTCAAGACAGCTCTGTTCATCACCTCCTCAGTCATACTGGCGCTTCTCTTAGGGGCAGCTGTGATAGTCTGGAGGAAATCTCGGGGCCGAGCCCCAGTAGCACAGAAGGGTGGCTATGAAAAGCTGGCTGATCCTAGCAGGTCTTACTCCTCCTATAAGAGCAGTCATCTCCAGAGCACCAGCTTTGAAGAGGCTCAGATGATGGAGTACAGAGACCGGGACGATGAGGATGAGGATGACGAGGATGATATTGTCTACATGGGCCAAGATGGCACAGTCTACCGGAAATTTAAGTATGGGCTGCTGGATGATGATGAAGTTGAGCTAGAATACGACGATGAGAGCTATTCCTACGAGTGAACAGAGGCAACAGAGGCCTCACCCCAGTTCACTCACGGGATTGTGTGTGAGCATTAGTTTGGCATTTAATCCCCACACACCAGACTGATATGGGGGGGGGGTGTTGTATTAATCTTTAAACCACCAGTCCAACTAGAGTATGTGAGAATACTGAAATACATTGTTCTTCTTTTGAATGACTAAACTCAATAAAACATAATTGTTCAACCATAATTGAAGAACAAGGATAAAATTCAGAGGGATTGTCCTCAAAACAGTATGTTAAGATACAAAACACAGGAAGTAAAAAACAAGTGAAATTTGTACAAACTGGTTTATGTGATTAAAAAAAATAGAAGTGGTCTTATTTCTCAGCTCTATTGTGGTGATATAAAAATTCTGTTTGTCAGTTTTGGTGAGGAAATCTGCTCCCCTCTAGAATTCTGATATTTCTTGAAATAATATTTGAGGGATGAGGAATTGTTTGCCTGAGGGAATTTTTTTCCAGGTAGCTGTCTTAAATTTCCTTGGAAGGATGAACTCGAGACTGCTGCTGGTAAGCAGAAGAGACCACTTCCACTGAGGCAGGTCATGAATTATTTAGAGAGGAGGAAAGAAGAGTGACATTATAGCCAAGGAAACGTGTGTCCTTTTAGCTCTGGTTCCTCTACAACTTGGAGTCATAATTCTAGAAGCAGAACAAGCTCAGACAGGAGATAGATGGAGGCATGTGCAGCAGGAAAGAAAATAATAAGTTTCCAAGAATTTCAGCATTACACCCTCATAATTTTCTTAGAGTTTGTCTGGTTGGAAACATCAGCTAAGTCATCACTAATAAAAGAAAAATGGCAACATTAGTGTAACATAAAATGGGATAAGATGATCAAAAATGTCTATTCTAATAAAAAAAGACTTTAGCTAGTAAATTAGAGGGCTTTTGTCAAAAGCCTATCACAGAATTTAGACTCTCCAAAGAGAAAGAAGGAATACAGTCTAAATGGAAAACCCCAGCATCCTGTTCACAAGCTTAATCCAGCTGTCTGCTGGCCTTCCGACGCTGTCACTGCATCCTGAACTTCCCTTTTCCACTCTTCTACCCAGTACACACTTGGATTAGTGCACACCTGGGACAGTTTTTCTGCTTATAGGAATAGAGAGAAAGGGGCTTTTGATGCACAAAATTACTTACCCAGAGTCTTACAAATTCCCTTGTAAAGTAGATATTATAGGCTATACCAGAAGTGGAACAGTGACATTATCAGATGATGATGATAATCATAAAATGTATTGTATATCTACCATGTACTACAAGGGAACTAAATAATTCCTTTAAAAAAAATCACCCCACTTAATACCATAACTTCATGAAATTGGTACCATCATTAGTTTGTTTTTATAGGAAACCTGAGACTGACAAAATTGAGAAAAAATAAGAATGACCCTAAAGCACAAGTCTTTAATAACCATGCTACACTGACATAAAAGAAGAAGCATTCAGGCCTCCCCTGTTGGTGCAGGAGATTGAGCGCTGTGCTGTGAAGCTGTCCGCAGCCTCTGCAGTGCCGGTTCAATCCCAGCCGGCCAGGGAGGGTCCCACATGGCGCGACAGACCTCTCCTGTCTTGCCCGCTGCTCCCCTCAGCAGTGTATTTTGTCAGTCTGCCTGTTCTGTTCCCCGCTCTGTCTCTGGTGAATCCTCTCACCCTCCCGCACAACTGGCCTGTACCCCAGATCTTGTATAAATAAATCTTAAAAAAAAAAAAGAAGCATCCTAAGCAAATAAAAGCATGGCTATTATTTTATTTTATGACATGGCAACTGTATTATCCTTTCTAAATTCATGCATTTTAATTTTTTATAAAACATAATGTATCACTGATACAGGACATCTCTGTGAAGAAGCTTACAGGTTCCTGAAGGCCTCAGTGTTGAAGACACAAGTAGAGTTTTGTGTTTTTGTGGAAAGGGCTAGATTACACAAACTTTAGTCTTTGCACAACTACTGAACTCTGCCATCATGGCATGAGTGTGGCAAACCCTTAACAGATGAGTGGGCCATGTTCCAATGATACATTTATTTATGAACACTGAAATTTGGATTTAAGATAATTTCCTCTATCATAAAATATCATTCTCCTTTTGAGTTTTTCATCATCACTTAAGAATGAAAAAACCATTCTTAGTTCAAGACATTACAAAAACAGGTGATAGACCAGCTTTGGTCAAACAGACTGTAGTTTGCCTATCCTTCTTTAAGAAATATAGGAGACCATGTGTGTTGCACACACACGGTATGTTCCAAAAATTCTGATCATTTAAAATCATCTTTTAAATCTATTTGAAGTTCTGATAGTACCCTTTTCAATTCTTAGAAATACATAAAATACAGTAAGATAGCCAGCACATCAATGGAAGAACTTCTCATTTCTTGCTGTAGAATTACAGAATGTAGCTTACGGAAATAAATAATTTGTTTATACCATGTTGTTTCACCTGCCCTGATAATTCACCTGCTCTAATAGACTGAGTCTGACATTTCTTTGTGTAGCCTGAAAATTGGTTTCCAAGAAAAAAAAAATTTGTGTTTATGATACACAGCTAAAGATTAAATGAGGTCAAGACAGCCTTAACTACTTAGAAAAATTGTGGTGTTGTGACTCTATGTGAGCCTGACGAGATTCATGCTGTGTATAGGTACAGTTTGACATCTTTCCTTCTTTGTACTTAGTCATGCCACATTATTCTCAGATTTCTTTTGAATACTATGTTAACAACAGTCTAAATAGATAATATACTTGCTTGGAAAACAAAGTCATTTTTGGTTTTCTGTTTTCAAGTTACTTGGAAATGTTATGAGAGCCCCTGTAGACTGGAAATGAAGCAAGAGGCTAGGCAAGAGCTTGAAAGGTTCCAGTTCATAGAAAGTACTTTTAAAATGGGAAGTAAAATTAAACCAAGACCAAATAATGCCATGGGAACTTGCTTATTAAAGGACTATTTCTGAGGACATTTTATGTGCTTAATATGATGCTTTACCTAGTAAGAGAGCAAAACAATAATGGAGTGCTGTTTGTTTTTTATCTTTCTGCCTCCAGTTAGCAATGTTAAGCTAAAAATTCAGGAGGCCATTAAAAGGAAAAATGGACTCTACATGGAATCAAAGATTTGCAATTCAGGATACATAGAATGGGTAGAACTAAAACATGCCCTAAGAAGGAACAAAGTCAGGAGTTTTTATGGGAAGAAAAGAGGAAGATGAGATAAGCAGTTAAAGAAAAGAATTAATGTTAATAAACATAAACCATTCTTGACCATATATAACTGGTTACTGATTCCAACTTCTGACAAAAAGTCCACAGTCATCAGTCCTCGGGATCAGAATGTCCTTTCCCCTGCTGATTTCACAAAACATGGTTTAGTTCATGAAAAAAATTGCCGTTTGACCCAGATCAAAGGATCTTTGGCCCAATTCAAATAAGAAAGTAATAGTTTTTCTACTGTGGTATCTCTGGTCCCATTTAAAATGGCTGTGTTTGTCAGTTTTTTTCACATCAGTTTTCTTTCCTGAAAACACATCATCTGTCTTTTAGTCCCATCATTACTACTTCATTAAGTCCCAGTCTGGGCCTCCCCAGTGGCGCAGCAGTTGAGCGCTGGGCTGAGAAGCTGCCCACAGCTCTGCAGCACCAGTTCCATCCCCGGCCACCAGGCGAGGGTCCCACATGGCGCCTAGACCTCTCCTGCCGCCTGCCCGCTGCTCCCCTCAGCAATGTACTTTGTCATTCTGCCTGTTCTGCTCCCCACTCTGGCTCTGGTGAATTCTCTCACCCTCCCGCGCTTCTGACTGTACCCAGTGCTCGTATAAATAGATAAATAAATCTTTAAAAAAAAATTAAGTCCCTGTCTTTCTCAACTATACTTTTCCTACTTCCTCCTGAATTACTTCTGATCTTCTGTGTCTTTTTCCCCCAATTAATTCTCTACTCTGCTATCAAAAGTTGTTTATATATGTCCATCAAATCATCACATTCTGGGCTCCCCATCACCCATATTGATTATGACATTCAGAATTTTACAAGATGTGGTGACTGTTCTGTTTCCAAACTTAAAAACCATCTCCCTGACCCCTCTATTTCCCAGCTTTCTCTTTTACTCTGCAATAGTACTTGGAGATTTGCTTCTAGGTTCTCCAAAATAATATTGTGTTATGACATTTCTCTGGACATACATTGCTCACTCCCCTTGGACTATCTGCTCCCTACCGTGAACAACTGGAAAATTCCTAGCCATCTTTTAAGATCATATTCCTTTATAAGCGCTCCAAGAAATCTTCCTTCACTTCCTTTGAGGTCAATCACTTTCTTACATCTCTGCTGTCTATGTCATAGGCTCCAATCTGATAAAGTAGATCCTTTGCCCTCTAGGGAAAGAATTCATCAGAGAGCACTCAGTGTTGCTGAAACAGGCAAGACTTTATTAGAGAGACTCATGCACAAAAAAACTAATGTAGGGAAGGAGAATTTAGTCACTCTTTGAAGAGAGTTAGGAGGAAATATTAAAAGAAGTTTATATAGGAAAGGAAGAAATCCGAGGACATAAGGGCTTCTTATTCTCAGTTCAGGGAGGCACTGGGAAGCCTAGGGACAGTCACAAGATTATTGAATGACATTCCTGGAATAGTTTCTCTCCTCTGTGTTATCCCTTTAAAATGGCCACAGGTGTTCCTCAGACTGGGAAGCTAGTGCATCCTAAGAAGGAATAAAATATCTCCATATGTATTAAGCAACCTACTTCCATAGTCCTGAGGAAAGTGACACAGTGCTTTATTTTGAACTGCCAGGTTGAAGGTTACCGCATAGTTTTTTAATTTTTAAATTTTGTTTTATTTTTTTAATAAATTTTATTTTTATATTCCCCGTACAATTGCAACCCCCTTATTTTGACCCCAATCCCTCCCCTCCCCGCCCCCCAACCCTCATAGAGTGTCTCTGGTTCATAGTTGTTTGTTGATTTTGATTTTCACTTTCTTATAGTTATTCATTTTCCTGGTCCCTTATTTAAGGTTTCTAGATTCCTGCTATGAGTGAGACCATCGGTATTTTTCTTTTTCTTTCTGGCTTATTTCGCTAAGCATGATCCCTTCCAGCGCCATCCATGTTGCTGCAAGTTGCATGTGTTTATCTTTTTTGAATGCTGAGTAATATTCCATGGTGTATATGTACCACATCTTCTTGATCCAGTCATCTATTTTGGGCATTTGGGTTGTTTCCAAAGCTTAGCTATTGTAAACAGTGCTGCTATAAACACAGGGGTGCAGGTGCTCTTTGGAATTGA